CCTTAACACTGGGCTACAGTCCCAGCACCATAAGGCCCTGAGAAAACCCAGGTTGCCAAGAAGATCGGGCAGGTGCCACAATGGCTGAACAGATTTGGATATTATGTCTAGCTTGTGCCAGGGACTCTGTCAATCCTGAGGTTCCACTGCATGTAGTGTTTTTAGGCTAAGGCATGTGGTGGGTCATGACCTCCACTACTTGTCACAGGCCAGATCGAGCCCTATGAATAGAGGGCCTTCACTCCAAGAGGCTGGGGAACCCTGTGTGAACTATGGGGCTCTCTACCCACTCTGGGACCTGGAGCTAGCAAAGCCAGTCTCCTTCAACCAGATGGCATTAGTGTCCTCAAGGACCTGGTGGGTATCCTCTGTAAAGCCAGGAGTCATCCTCTCACCCACCTGCTTTGAAAACTAGGTGTTCTATACTCGAGCCAGCCAAGGTGAGGCTTGCAGCAGGCCATGCTCCTTTCTTCCATGCCTTCAGGAGCGCAGCCTGCATGACAGTCTCTTGCCACACCAGCAGGCTTTCTATCCTCACTGTGCCCTGACATAGTGGGCTAAGTGATGTGTTTGTGTGGGGGGTGGGGGGAGCAGGATTCAGACCTATTCTCAAATGCTAGAGGGGCTCGTGTCTTAAAGATGTCCTTCTGCATGCCTTTCTGCTCAGGAGATGACCACTCTTTGCTTTCTAAGTTTGACTGCCTAGTAATTTTCTATAGGAGGTTTGTTCAAAACGTTTGGAAACCTACACGTCCTGTCATTTACCCTGCACCTTCCCATCTGCTGGGCCCTGCCCTCTCCTTTGTGCCTTTTGCCACTGGTGTGGACTTCCTTACCTTTTTCTCCCCTCCCTGTGGTCGGCTTCCCACATGGGTGTGAGCTGTCACCATTTATCAAACTCTGTGCTGGGGCATTAATTTTGATCTTGAAAACCCTGTGAGGTAGGTAGGGACCTAAGTGCCATTATCACACAGCTGTGTGGTAATATGGGACCCAGGACAGCATAGCACTGTCCATAGTAAATATTGAACTATTAGGTCCATACTGGGATCAGCAAACTACTATCACCTCTGACTTATGGCCTGTTTCTTTGTGAAGTCACCACCTAAGAATGGCTTTTAAAGGGTTGTAAAAGAGAGAGAGAGAGAGAATAGGGGCTGGGGCTCAGTGGTAGAGCACTCACCTAACACCTGCGAGGCTCTGGGTTCGATCCTCAGCACCACATAAAAATAAATAAATAAAATAAAGGCATTTTGTCCAACTATACCTAAAAAATAAATTTAAAAAAAGAGAGAGAATATGTGACAGAAACATAATGTGACCTTTGAACATTTCCTATCTGCACTTTATGCTGTCTGGCAAGCCCTGGTATAAAATATGCAGAATTTAGCACAGATGTTGGAGACTTACTGCTTGGGCCCTAGAACCCCAGTCTTGTGTATTAAAAATAAAAATCGTCTATCAAATGTGGTGGCTCACAGAGCTGTTAGAATTCAAGCATGTAAAGAATATAACCTTGAGTACACTTTCTCTGGAAGCACTGAGAAAGGGATCTCTGGGCCTCTGACAGGCTTCTCAACCCAGTGGGCACGAATGTCCTGGCTCTGAGCCTCTGGCTACCCCAGCCCAGAGTGTGGCTTCCTTAGAGCATGTTCCCTTTGGCAGGAGGAAAGGGACCTGCCAGCTGCCCATTGTGCCTTGTCCTGCTGGGAGGTCAGCTCTGCCTTCCTCCCACCCCCATCCCTGCTGACAGTCAGCTGTGCCACTCACCAGGGCTGGGCACAAAGCCCACACCAAGTACCTCACTGGGCCCAAAGGTACCAAGGCTCCTCTACACACTCTACCCTGGCTGAAGCACTGGCCTGGCAGCAGGAAATGCAGCCTGGGGCTCATCCTCTCTGTGTGAGCTTCCTCCTGCACCTGCCAAACAGGTAGACATCTGTGTTTCCCCAGACCCAAGCTTTTGACCAGTGCCTGCCTTCCTACTAAGGAAAAGGAGCAGGAAGGGTAATCCCAAGGCCCAGCCAGCCTTCCTCTCTGGCAAGAATGGTCTGAAAAACAATTTTGAATGGAAAATTAGTTAATTGTAAAGATTTAAAAATTCAAATGATCAGATAATCAGAAACAGTATTTTCTGATCTATATAGAGATGAACTCAGTTCTCATTAGCAATGGAAGAATTGAACATAAAAGATCAATAAATTTTACTATATGGAACCATAAACAGGTATATCAAAAGACCTAAAATAATTTTAAATCAAACACAAAAAAAATTAATGTCAAATATGACAGAGGAAGAATTAATATCCTTAAAATAAAAGTTTTTAAACAACAAAGCTCTTAAGACATAACAGCATTAAGCAAGTACTTATGTAGCATATTATGCCAGACTCTGTACCAAGTACTTTATACACACTTAGTCACTTAGTTATTTAATCCTTGTAAACAACACTATAAGAAAGATACTATCATTACCTCCATTTAACAGATGGAGAAACAGAGGCACTGAGAGCTGAGTGACCTGCCTACAGTGCACAGCCAGCTCATGAATGGTGTAGCTACGATTTGAACCCAGCTCATTGCTGGGTGTGAGCTCTTAAACTCTTATCCTAACCAGAAAAAAAGATAGACAGCAGACAGTACAAAAAGAGGAAGTGCAAATATCTGAGAAACATAAGAATTATTTTTCAGCTTCAGTGGTAATCAAAATGCAAATTAAAATGAGATACCATTTTTTTGCCTTTGAATTGGAAAGGCTTTTTAAATATTATAATATTAATAAATACTGGCAATACAAGAGTGAGACAGACTCCCAGATTGCTGAAGTTGTAATTCAAGTAGCTTTTTTGAAAAGTATTCTGACAGGATTCTCAGAAAGGTCTATACCCTTTGACCAGGAATTCCCATTCTGAGAATCTAATTTGAGAAAATAATTAGAGTGACAAAGATTCATGCATAAAGATGTTTATAGCAATTCTATAAAAAATAATGAAAAATTAGAAGCAACCTAAGTATCTGATAATAGGAGATAAGTAAATTGTTTAATCTTCATAATGGGCAATTAGGCAGCCATTATAAATAAATCTGTATAACAAAAGCACCATAAACAAAGTGAAGAGACATACTGTAGTACTTGCAGTGCACATAACAACAGAGGGAGGATTTATATAAACAAAAGAAAGAATCAATAAGAAAAAGGCAAACAACCAAAGAACAAAACAAGCAAAGGATGTAAATAGGTAATCTGTAGAAGGCATGGCAAAGAAACATGAAACAGTGCTCCATCTCACTAGCAGGAAATGCACGCTAATCAGATATACTTATCAGAATAGCAAGAGTCTAAAAGCAAAGATACAAAGAAACAAATTCATATTCATTGCTGATGGGAGTACAAATGACTTTGAAGAGCTATTTGACCATCTTAAAGTTAAAACATATGAGTCTCTGTGACTCACAGACGGTTCTAGGGATCACCTGGCACAAATGTCAGTTTCTACCAATAGACATGTTAAAAATTTTTCATTGAAGTATTGTTGTTCAAAGTTCATTGAATTACTGTTTATAATAGCAAGCATGTTAGTATTATTGTCATGTAACATTTTTATATATGATATATTACAAAGTAGCAACAGTGATCATTATTAAAGAACTATCATTCCGATGGAAGTGAATTTTTAGAATAGGATTTTACATGAGCTACTATGCATGGTTAAACTGAGTGAGCTAGATCTGTTCCTATCAGCTCAGATAAATTTCTAAAACAATGCTGAGGATAAAGAGCAAGTCACACAAAAGATACATATTTGGATACTATTTTTGGAGATCTTTAAGACAAAATATTACATAGTAGTTAAGGACACATGTATTGAAAAATGTACAAGAGTACAAATAATGTACACCACCTTCAAAACAGTGGTTACTTCTGTGAAGGAGAGCAGGGTGGAGGGGCAAAAGTGGGAAGTGGGACTTTTTATTTTCTTTAAGGGAAGGATTGAAACAGATATGGCAAAATGTTAACCCATGTTCTAAGTTTGGGTGAGGATATATACTTTTCTGCATACTAAATTATTTCAAAATTTCAAGCAAATTAGTTTTTAATTTACTTTTTTAATAATGTACAAGTCCATGGAGAAATGTTTATGGTATAATGTTAAGGGATAAAAGCAGTATAAAAATATACACAAATATTTAAAAATTTCACAAATTAAAGGTTTAAAAGAGAGATACCAGATATTCATGGTGATGCGTTTCTTTACACTCTTCCATTTCTCTTTTTTCATTCCATGAAGATGTTTTATTTTTATATCCAGGAGAAAAAGTTAAAACAACCATAGAAAAGTTAAAACAACCACCTGAAGGTGCTTAGCTCCTAGGAGAGGGATCTGATAGGATGGAGCATCCTGGATCATCAAGTGACCTGGACTGTTGCTGGTGTGGCCACTTTGTGGTTGTGCAAGTCTGAGTTCGTTCATGGCCCTACCCAGCAAACCCTTCCTGAGCACCAAGCACCATGCTAGTGACCCAACAGTGAGCAAAACACACGCTCTTTGCCTCACCACAGAATGTGGAGCTGGTGAGGAGGGGACAGTAAACACATCACCCCATGGATATGCACAAGTGTGGCATGTGCATCTTTAGAGCACAGGGTCCTCATGAGGAAAAAGGACAAGGACAGTAGCAAAAATCCAATATGGAACAGGTGGATAGTGAACCTAGCATTTGAATGACATTTAGATTGGAGTCAAAAGAATGAGGAGGTTTGGAACCTTCAAAAGTGAGGACATTGAAAGAAAGGAAGGCCTTACGGGGAATAAGAGCAGATCTGGGGCGCAGAGGGGAGCAGTGGTGAGTCAGGGGCAGTGAGCATGCCATCAAGGGTCATTGAGCCTTGACTTTTACATGTGTGAACCGGGGTTTATGATGACGCTTTCACCTTCGGGTGAGTGTTCAGCCCTGTTATACAAACCCACTTCCACAGCAGTCTTATCTCTTCTTCACAGGTGGGGTGTGTCACTCCTGGGGCTGGAACGAGCATGGCATGTGTGGGGATGGCACCGAAGCCAACGTCTGGGCCCCGAAGCCTGTGCAGCTTCTGCAGTCAGCATCAGGACTCCTTGTGGGATGTGGCGCTGGCCACTCCCTGGCCCTCTGTCAGCTGCCAGCATATCTTGCACTGGGCCAAGATCCCAAGGTCACCTACTCTCCCCTGGATGCCACGGAGGACACCAAATCTCAGGAAGGCATGGACAAAAGGAGAAACTGGAAGGAAAGACAATTAGAAACTTCAGCCCAAAGCCATTCTGACAATCCCAGGAGTGAAGGGCTGTGATAGACAACCTAATAAAGTGGCTTTTTTTCTCCAAAAGTTTTTCTGGAGACTGACTTTGTTGGGTTATGGGATTGACCTGAGAAGGACGTGGAGGCACAGCTGATTGAGCTGACCACAAACCAGAACAGCAGAGGCTGTTTTCCCGGTATCTAGGCTTTTAAGGAGAACACATCCGTTTTATTCAGTGAAGGATGGGTCCCCACAAAAGGACATGAAAATCTAAAATTCCAGCAGAAGTTTCCAGCCTCTCCCTGCCTGGTAGAGCCAGAAAACCCCACACTAGTGCCATGACTGTTTTGATCCAGCAGTGTTTGATTCAGCTAGACAGAGGGTTCCTTGGTCATGCAGAAGCAGCCACAAACCCCATGCTGGGGTTTCACTCTAAGGGAGAGAGCTTGCAGTTTGTCCATTCAAGAATACTGAGGTGCTTCACCTGGACACTTTGAAAGGAAGGTGCTTTCATCTTGCTAGCTAGGGCCAAGGGAGAGAGGGCTGGGGTATGGGGTCATGGAATGAGTAAGTAGATAAAAGGATATGATTCTTGGAAAGACCCAGAAGAGGAGGTCCCTGGGAAAACTAATCTCAAACCAATAAAACTCTCAGAAGTTTCATCATCATCTAAGCCAGGCAGGACTCTGGAGCCAACCTGGGTGATTGTAATGGCTAACGTGGATAGTTTCAGACCTGGGGTCTGTGATGACTAAGGTCCAGTGACTTTAAGAAGTTAAGAATCCTAAGACATCAAAGCTGGACCAGGACCCTTAATCACCATCTAGTCTAATGAACCTTCAAATTGCATTCTTCAGAGCCCCATTGAGTCTTCTGAGAATTCAGTGGCTCCTTTATGGACTACAAGTAAAGGAGGCCAAGTAGACAAAGGACTGGATTACCCACCTCCACTTTTTTCAAAGAAGCTTTAGTTCTACCTATATATAATGTATTTAGCATCACATAAGATTTCTTTAGATGATGGGGTCCTTGAGAAAGTTTAAAAACTATTCATCTTATCCAACATTTTCATTGTTGTAGGAAAATGGAGGCCTACAGAGGGGGCAGGACCATCTCAAGGCCACACACCTCACTCCTGATCCAGGGTCCTTACTGGGAAGTGACCTCATCCAAGGTCTTGAGCCAGACAAGAGTGGGGTAGAGAGCAGCCTTGGGGCCAGAAGTGAGTTCAACTCCTGAGAGTATAGAGGAGGACAATCCTGAGCTCCTACAGGTCTGAACCTGGAGCACCAATAGGCTGATCTTAAGCACCAATTCATGGGGTCCTACTCCCAGTCCTGCATCCTAGAAACATGGCAAAGTCCTTGATCTTCACCTCCCACAGCCAACAGAGGTCAATATACCCTGTCTACACACTGAACTGGATTTGCCAAGGTGACCGAGTTCACAGAAATGGAAAATTGAATGGTCCAGAGATGATACTGCAACAAGCCAAGGTTACTGACAACTGCCCCCGGCCTATAGGCTGAATGGTCTGCATCAAACAGGCTGGAAATCAATCACACCTGGAATAATACTGAGGCCCATATTTGCTAGTCAGAGTTTCCATTAGCAAGGAATAATTTAAGCTCTCTCGTATGGTTACAGTGCAGGGCTCCCTCCTACTTCTTTGAGTACCTGCTGGAAGAAACCAAAATCTCAAGTCATCTGTTGCTGAATCCTAATGTGTCTCCCAAATCCTCCTTATGAACATCAAAAAGAAGTGCCTCAGGCTCCTTCTTAGGCTGAAACAGGATCAGGTGGTATATCAGCCTTGAGCCTGTTGATCTAGAACCTCAGACTCTTAGAACTGAGACAAATCCTTCTTGAAGCAGGCAGGGCACCAGATAGTCCATAAGCAGGAGAATGATTGGCTTTTGGCACCAAAAGACACCACAGGCCACCCAGTCACTTTAGAGTCTTCCTTTTACCCCTCCTAACAGCAGCATCAACAGAAAGGCTCTCTCCAAATCACTTCACTTATTGGCTTTGATGATTCTGAAGGTTCTTGTTACACAATGAGTAAGGAAGTGTCGACAAGTGTCTCCTAGATTTTTTTCTGGACCCTCTAATTTCTATTGGTCATTCTCAGACTTTGTAAATGTCTACTCCCCCATTTCTGTTAGACCATGAGCTCTTTGAAAACAGAGGACCAGGTCTTAGTCAATTCTAAAGCACCTTCACTAAGTGTTGGTCCTAGTACAGAAGTTCCCAATAAATGCCCAATAAATGAACGAACTCATTAGTGTACCGTTAGGATCACCCTGAGGTTGGGGGAGGGGGTGTAAATGAGTGGCCTTTGCAATACCTTCATCCTTACCCATCTTCTGTTTTATCCCACTAATAAATGAACTATGCTGTGGAATCATAGCCATTTGACAGTCAATTAAGGTTAATATATACCACCTGGTTAACTAATGAGCTAGCTTGAGAAAATGCCCATTCATTTTTAAAATTACTTTTTTTCTGATCAACTAAGTAAATTAGTTCAAGAGCTGAACAAGCCCCCACCCCACCCATTGTGTGCTCATAGGTCTTTGGCCTGACCCCTGGAGTGATTGTTGAAGGTCCAGCATGTACTGGATATTAGTGGGATGTGTCCATCCCTATCTACCACACTCACTCTTCCTTCCTGATCACAGGCACCCCATCTTCCCTTGAAACCCCCCCCACCCTTGGCCCTGGTTGGTTGTGAGAGCCATCAGACCAACCTTAGATGAAATGGTGCTTGTGAATCCAGGCCTGTTGCTGAGAATAAAGCCCTCCCACCACTCCAAGCCCTTCTGCACTTCTGAGTGAAATGACTTAGTGATGGATGGAAGTTGAGAGTTAGCATTCAAAGTTAGTGGGGACGTGGTGGGGATGTTAGAAGGAGAGGGTTCCAAGTCCTCAGGCACATACGGGTAACTGCTATAAATTCAGACTTTCAGAGTGACTGGTGCACACAAAGGGAGGTGGGCATGAGGAGCAGAGATTGGGGAGGCTGGTAGCCTCTATAAAAACTAATCAAGGGAGCTTAAAGTTCATTGTTAGGGCAGTGAGATTTTTAAGAAAGAGAGTAAAGTTGTCTCTCCGTGTGTGGGAGAAAAGGCAGGATGTGAAGTGATCCCTGCTTGTCATACCCATGGTGCTCCATGAAGAAGGTCAGGAGGCCAAGTCCTGAGGGCCTGAGATTTAGAACCAGCAACTCTAGTGTTCCTATCAGTTGCACCTCTCGGGGTCATCCCCGGGAAGCCTCTATTATCTTGAGTCAGATTAACCTAAGATCTGGGGTCAGATAACTTGTGTTAAAATCTTGACTTCATCATTCATTGGCCATATGGCTTTGGGCCAGTTACTTTATTCCTTTGTACCTTGTTCTCTTGTCTCTAAAATGGGACTATTTTGAGCTATCATTAGACAACATTTCTAAGATGTCCCCCCACCATGTAGATATGCAGTGTATATTAATCTCTTTTCTCCAGGAGCTACTGTGTCCCTGGAAACCCATATTCCCAATGGCTTGGTGTTCACCAGAGGCTCTTCTTTGATGGCAGATCCTTGGGGAGCATAAACATTTTCTTGTCATGGCCCCTTAGCCACCTAACCCCTGGGCAGAGGCTCCACTCTCCCCATACACTCTGTTCTTAGACTTCACAGGGCACCAGGAAGTTTAGAAAATACTTTGAGGAGATAAGAAACTGTTAGATGAAAATTTAGCACCCTCCTCTGCCTCCCACCCACTCTTCAGATCGTTGACTCAGGTCATGCTGGGAGGTGTCCAAGGAACTAAAATCAGGGGAATACTGACACTCACTTATTAGTAGCCCTGGAAAGATCACTTTCCTCTCTGGGCCTCATTTCCTTCTCTCAAAAAATGCTCAGAGGTTGACTGCCCTGACCTTCAGGAGCTTTCCGCCCGCATTCATCAAGTCTCTAATGAATAGGAAAAAGTGTTGGATCTGCCACTCTGCCCCACACCGAAATCAAGTGAACAACCGAAGCAAATCAAGATCCCTGGGAGGTGACTGCACTCCTTCCAAGATGCCCTCAGATTGGGAGAAAGGGTATTCAGTGAAGTGGGTCACCTGACCAGGCCCTGCAAGGATACACTTAGCTAGGGCACCCAGACCTGACAGTCAGATCTCTGTCTCTGGCTTCATCAGATACAACAATGGCCCTAAGAGGGAGGTGACCATGGTCTGCATGGATGGCGGGAGCAGGATGTGCACTGACATGGCCAGATTCAAGGATGCATCAACATAGCATGATTCAGGGAGAAATCTCCATGACAGGTAACTCCCTAGAGGATGTGCTGGTTTTTTGTCAGATCTTCATACACTCTGTGCCTCTGGGAACTGTCCCTTGCCCCAAAAGGATGTGTAGTGCAAGGGGCCACCCTGCCCAGTCCCCCCTGCATGGGGCAACTTCCTCCTAGGGCTTAGCTTTTCCCCAGCGAGTAGACCACAGCACTTCAAGGTGGGTCCTTGAGATTGGCATAGTCAGGGCCCAGGCTTATCCCAGCCCAGCCATGGAAGAGAATCACGACACTGCCTGAAGGCAATAAAAACCCGAATCCATGCTTCATCTCAGAAGTCAGCTTTTTATTTCCGGGTCCAGGGCCCGGGGAGGGGAGTTTGTTGAGCTAAAGCATCGTTGCTCTCTTTCCAGGAAATGTTGTGAGCTGCAGTGAAAGCTCGAGATGTTGCATTTTTTTTTTCAACTCAAGCATGTGTTTTTCAAAAATATCATCCTTCCCCCCCCCCCCCACTAATTTTAGAATCAGACCAAAGCCAAGCTACTGTCCTCTGTTTCTGTTGGGAAAATACTATATTTATTCGAGATGCAGAAGCGTGTCTCTGCAAACCTCCAATTGCTTCAGGAAAACAAATCTGCTTTAGACTATACAGAAACCATGATACAAAATTTATTTCATGCTCGAATCGCTTTGCATAACATTGGGCATGCAGTTTTTTACTCTGAAGTACTAAATTGCATACATCGCCAGGTTGTGCCTTGGTAAAGGTGGAGGAGGTTGCCCCTCCTGTGGTCCTGAACTTTTGGTGCTCTACATCCTGGTTTTAAAATAACACTTGGAAAATCCATACGGTGCTGATTATTTACTATGAACAATTTATTATGAAAGTTGGTCACACTGGATCTACACACCGATATGATGAGAGATTCAACCTAGACTAGCCGCTGCCAGGGGTCTTGGGGAGACGTCCGCTGGGTCACAAGCATGCCAAACAGAGAGGGAAGAAGGCAGCAGTGCGAGTTTCCACAATTCTATTTGGAGCAAAGTTCTCAGTTTCCGTGTGAGAGATGAACTATGAAGGTGAGGTCAATATGACCAATGACCGACCGACTGCCCTTTTTGGAACCTTTACTCTCGATCTTGTGTACAAAAGGGGAAGCAATTTGTTCCCCATCTCCATCCTTCCTCCCTGGTCCCCTCCCAGAAATGTATAGGTTTCTACTGAACGCTGTTACAGTTTGGCTCCAACAATGTGTGTAAAAGTAAAGAGCTCTGAAAGAAAATATAGGACTTTTTCTTTTTCTTTTTGTTATTGTTGTTGAGGGTAATCATACAGTTGCAGGGAGGTTGGTGGGTTTGGTTTGCTGGGTTTTCTGTTTAACTTCATGCAAGTCATGCTAAGGAACCCCTCCACCCTCCCTCCCCAAATAAAATAAAATTTTAAAAAATGAAAAGAAGGAAAAGAAATCCTCTACGGTCAGTTACCATTTGGCCGTAGGAAAAGCTACGTCCGTCCTAGCACAATGCCTGGGCCACTCGGACTCGTCCGGCAAACCTGCATGGCGTGAATTTACTCTGTCCGAGGGTGAGGAGGGGCTGCAGGTCCACCCAGATGCTTAATAGCCACCAGTGTCCTCGGCCAAGCCGCCTGGTCAAGTCACTCTCACAGCCTCTGTCGGCATATACTTAGCAATGACAGGGCTTTCTTTGCAAAGATCTGTATGTAAAGAATACAATTAACACTTGAGCTTCTCTTCTTGGCTTTCCCATCCCGCTTGGTACTTAGTTTTTAAGGAAGGAGGAGGAAAGACAGAACAGCCGCATGCAGAGGCAGGCAGGTTCTTCTCCAGCTGGCTGGTTTCCCATGCAGTGAGCCAGCCTAGCAGCCTCTTTCTCTCCCTCCTGAGGAAACCAGTGGAGTCCCTATTTCTTCTCCTACTCTGAGTCCAAACACCTGGACTCAGGAAACATCTGCAGGGCTTACAGCTCTGAATCAGCCTGAAAAAAGCAAGTCCTTGGTGGCTGTCAGGACTCCATGAGAGCTGGGGCTGGTGAACAGGGCTAGGGCACAAAGACTCTGGCTCCTAAGGCCATGTGGGCTTGGGAGACGGTAACACCTGTGGACAGTGGTTGCTGCTGGGCTCCCCAGTTGCTCCAGGGAGATGGGGCTGCTTCTGTCCCACATTCCCAGGGCTTCTGGAAAGATAGCAGGAGACTCCCTTGTCTGCTCTTTTAGGCCACATCAACTGAGCCAACATTCAAGATGAAGGAGACAGGCAGCCCAGGAGAACTTACTGGAAATGGTCTCCCTGTTTCCCCCTTACTCTCCAGGGTGGCCCCTGCTCCTAAACATTCTAGAGACTCCACCTGGTAAAAAGCCAGTTGCAAAGGGGAGCAGCAGACCCATCAATGGACAGTACCAAGAATGGGGCCTCCCCAAGGATGGCAGCCCTCCACCATGCAGCACCATGCGGGGAGTGGTACACCGCACTGAGGTCCGAGGGACCTCAGGCAGGGCAAAGAAGCAGGGACCAGCCTAGATCAGGTGGCACAACTAAGCACTAGTGACCCAAAGGACTTTCCCTCATCTCACTGGACACTGCCTCTCCTCTTCTAGGTCTGCCTTTGATTTCAAAATCTGTTTTCTTCTCGAATCTGGTTTCAAATACTGAAGCAGTTGACAATGGCCACAAGCTACACCAACTATTACCCTCAAAAATCTGACTACTTGACTGACCCTTCATTGGCATGCACCCGTGTGAGCGTGTGAGGCACTCCAAGACATGCAGAGCTGCCTAGCCAGCCTGCTGCACAGAGAAAGGCTTGCCCTGCCTTCCAGCCCAGCCATGCCTGGAGCCTTGCCCTAGAGTGCTCTGCAGCCCAACCCGTCCTCTCCCCAGCCCATGCTCAAGCTCTAACAGAAGCCTGTCTCCATCATGTCAGCCTGAAGTTCTGACTGTGCAGAGAACTTGAGCAAAGGCTACCACTGGTCTCAGTCTTTGCCAACCACAAGGGGGCGCTGAGCACACCAGCAGTGGCCAATGGGCACTAGCGATGGAAGGGGCTGTACAGAGTCCTGCTTACCCACCTCCTCCTGGCAAGTTTTCTATCTGCCACTAGTAATACTCTATCTGCCACTGGCATACACCTTACCTCTGCAAGGACAATGGCCTTATCCCCAAGCCCTGAAGCCACCTCTCTCTTCATGCCTTCCCTCCTTCTGACTTGTGGATTCTTATTAAAGGATGCCTCTTCCATAACATGGATCTTGGGTAGATAAGTTTACAGGGTCCTGGCTATGCCAGGCCCCTCTCACCATCTTCCTCAATCAAGGGAGAAGAGAGATCACTTTGCCTGTGGACCTGACCTGCCCCTGTCAAACCAACCTAGTGAAGCCGAGGCTGCTCCTGCATCCCTGGGTGCACCCTGCCTTCAGGTGCACCCACAGTCAGCCAGCCTGTGCCAATCCCCTTTCTACTACTTAGCTCAGTACTGACCCACAGCTGCCTGGGCCACAGGTTTTCTCTGCCAGCCTGACATCTCACTTGGGAGAAAGGGACTCTGACCTCCAGGGGCCAACCCTGGGGGACTCCTTCCATCCTTGCCCCCCTTACTGTGCCTGCCTGCCCCTCAGCGTCCCTTGCCCGCCGCCCTGCCCACCCACCTGCAGGAGCGCGAGGCGGGCCCGGCCGATGCATAGTGCTCCAGCTTCCTCTACATACCCTTTCTCATGCCTCCACCAGGTGGGCACGCGTACTCCCCGGTTGATAAGAGGAAGCAGGGTCCGTATCTCTCGCGGGTGCCCGAGCGCGTAAAGGGCAGGCCCTCATCAGGAGTGAGGGCCTGGTCTATGTGGGGGCAGTCTTCGTTCGCCAGCGCGGCCTTCGCCACCTCCCCATTCAGTTTGGAATCTTCAAACATATAAGCAGAAGCTATTGAGACACTGAAAACTGTTTAGTGAGGGGGGGGACAGGCCAGAGGAGGGGCATTTGACAAAGGGAAGCCCATCCCTAAGGATGGAAAAGTGGGCAGGTCATGGAGTAGGGTGCAAGGTTTGGGGAGGCCTCAGCTCGTTCAGGCAGCCCACAGGCTGCCCACCGTGCTGGGAAGGGAGAAGGGGCTCCTGGGTTTGCTCAAAGTTTGCAAAAAGATGAATTGGTGATGGGCCCCGCATGCAGTGCTGGGGTCCAGGCCCAGGGCCCAAGGCAGGGCCAATGAGACAGCATGGTGTGGATGTGGTCATGGGGAGAGAGCCAGACACAGAGCTCAGGGAGAAGACAGACAGACACGCAGAAATGCTCCAATCCAAAGAGGCAGACTTCCAGACCCCCTTCTGCCACTGACCAGAGCCCAACTACCTTCCATTGACACTCAGTCAACCAGTCAGACTTCTCCCCATCCAGACCCCACCTGATTTTCTCCACTCCACCTCTGTTTGGATTCCATCTGATCACTTGGTTCATTCTGTTCTCCCATATACACACACTCTGATTTCTCCGCCACCCACCCCCCACAACTCCATATGGACTCTATTTGGTTGCTCTGATGTCCCTTCCTCTGTACAGACTAGGCCTGCTCATAGCTGTTACTCTGTCCCCACAAGGACCTAATCTGATCACTCTGTCCCCTGTACAGACTAGGTCTGGGTACATCTTCTATTCTGTCCCCATAAGGACCCAATATGGTCATTCTGACTCCCCATCCCCTGTGCAGACTAGGCTTGGTCACACATTTTACTCTGCCCTGCACTCAGATCCGATTTGACCACTCCATCTGCTTGGTCCCCATGCAGACCCACACTGACCACTCAGTCCACTCTGCTCCCCACACACACCAAGCCAGCATCGTTGCCCACAGGCTCTGGCAGGCCTGGTCAGCTCGCACAGGCACAACAGGGATGTATGCATGAGGCTTGATGGTGGGACATGGATGTGGGAGGGGCTCCCATTCCTGTCTCCTCTGTCAGTGAACCCGGCAAAGCAGAGCAAATGGATGTGTTGAAGACAACAGTGGCTGATGGACTTGGGTGGAGAAAATTCAAGTCTTGGCCTCTGTGGTCGCCTGAGAAGGAAGCTGGGAGGAGGTCAGGGAGCACATTTGCTGGGGGCAATGTGTGGCCAGAGCAAGGAACCCTGTCTCTCCCAATTCCAGGAGCAGAGTGGTGGCTTGGGTTGGCCAAGGTGGCCTTTGCCCTTGCCCCATCACTTTTAGGGACTAAGTCTGTCCCATGCTGTCGGCCCTCAAAGCAGAATCTTTCTGGCCAGGGTGCAGCCAACTTAAACACTGCATCTAGAGTGGAAGCCCTTTTGTGGAAGGAAACCAACATGAGCAACCATGTTAGGGGAGACTCTCTAGAAGATTAAAGAGGGGGAAAGCCGGAGACAATTTCCACCCAAGTTGACACTTTCCCATGATCCTGTTCACATCATGTAACTACACGCAGAGTGATCCTTTCCCGCGTGCACACATTTGGCGTACACGTGGGTGGGATCATCACCCGTGTACACATCATGTCACTACAAAGAGGCAGTCAGTCAAAAGAGAAATGGACCAATCAGGTTTATTCATTAAAGCAAATCCAAAAAAAAAAAAAAAAAAAAACCCATCATAATTTTGGAACTTAAAAAAGTCTCTCATACAAGATGGCAAAGCATTTCACGTACAGTGCGTTTCTTGACAAATCCCAGGGGCTTTACTCCCCAATTTACTCTGAACCAGAAAGGCCAGTTACCAAGGAAACTCTGACACCATGTGACTGGGGCTGGGGGCTGCCTAGCTCCCTGGGGCGTGTCTGCAGGCACACGTGTGTGCTCACAGACACACTAGAGGGCCTGCACTCTGGTTGGCCCTTGTCTCCCTCCCCCGGGGATCTCAGGGCAGAGGAGGGTGCTGGGCAGAAGGGAAGGAAACAGTATGAAGTGGAAGTAAATGAAGCTGTGGCAGTTGGGACCATAGTACCCTGCATGAGTTTCCCTCCAGGGGAAGGCCAGTAGGCCCTCCCAGGCAGTGGCTCCCTCTAGGAGGGGCCTGAGAGCTTGTTCTCTTTCTTGGCCATGATCTATCAATGGAAGTGACCACGGCCTGCAGTTCTTGTCCAGAAGAGCTCCCCCTCTCTGCCTCTGCCTCCACTAAGATGGTGCAGTCAGAGACTTTCCTCTAGCTCTGCCCACAAGTCCCCGTGCCCCAAGGACTCCCAAATCCCACAACTTTAAAGGGCCCAAGTTGGGGCTTATTTTCCCTGAAGGGGCAGGGGCAAGGAGCAACCACCAGGGGTCCTTGGGGGGATTCCCAGGACACTCTTGAGCCTGCTTTATCTTTCAGCCTTGATCTTTGAGGAGGAAACTAGGACTGAGTGGCTGCTGGTTTGTCTGCAGTTCGGGATACTCTCAGAAACTGGGGCATCCTCCTTCTCCATCTCCAGTAGGGTGACAGGAAAGACCCAACTGTCTAAATCTGGGGAACCAGTGAAAAGGACCACAGATTCAAACTCAACCAAGATTCCCCACCCGCTGCCCCAGTCCATCTTTGGATGAGATGGCAGCTAGAAGCCTCGGTTCCCACCAGCTTTCCAGAGGGCTGGGGGCCCTGCCTCCTCTGGCTCAGGGCCCCCGGGCCCCTACTAGACCCACAGGCTGCAATGATGAAATGACAACATGGGCAGCATCTCAGAGATGGTTTCCAGGCTTTGAAATGGGCTGAGATGAGCGTCCGCAAGAGGGTCATTTTTTTTTAAACTTTGGAGCAAAGAGAACTGTGTGGTGGGGCCCTCAGCAGCAGGCTGCCTTTACTGCCCGTCTCCAGGCACCGCGACGTACTTACTGTTCACACCAGCATGGGCGCCCGTGGCGCACGCAGGGCTGGGGTGGGGTGGGGGTTTCTGGGCATTTCCCTGGGTATGCCCCAAGGGATCTGCCCAGCTGGGGATTCAGGGGAAAACATCCCGGGTTAAATGGGGACAGTCTGTGAGAAAGACGTTCACGAAAACCAGCACAAGTCATGCAACAAAACGAGGAGAGAGAGAGAGAGAGAAGAGAGGGAGACATGATTAGTGGAGAGAGAGAAAGACAGAATGTGAACAACATGGAAAAGAACACCCATGCCTGGCCTTCCGAGTCAGCGCACTTCTCCACTGCTTCCCCCTTAGCCCACCTGGGGACAACAAGGACCCTATTCAGGGTCCACGCTGCCAACTCTGCTGCTGGGCCCACACAGACTTTTCAGCCCCACATCCTGCCTGGTCAACTCGGCCCCCAATCCCATCACCCTCCCTGCCCTGAGGCTAGCACCACTTCCTGGGCAGCCACTGCAGCCCACCAGGAGACAGGTGGAGGGATCAGAGATAGGGGACTTTGTACTCTGCTCTCAGGGGAGGAACCCCTCACCCAAAAATGACCCAGAGGCCTCAGTGGTCCCAGTAAGCTGAGGTAGGGGCTTCTCTGGGACCTCACTACTGCCCTGCACACATACCACCATCCCTCTTTCCTCGCCATTCCTGCTCACCTATGATGAGACCCTGCATTCCTGAATGTGGCACCACAAAGGATCAACCCACATCACAGCAGCAGAGATGGACAAGACACATGTGAATGAACATAGCAGAACAAAGGGAGTACTCTAAGCTGCCCAGAACAGGTGGTCTGGGCCCTGGCTGCCCATTTTAGTGAAAGAGGCGGCTTCTTCTGGGTCACCAGTGACCCAGGCTGGGCCTGTCTGGCCTCCCCCTATGAGGACCCACAGTCAAGTTGACAACCAGGTCCTTGACAATTCCCCAGGACAAGACTCCCAACACTGAGGCCATCAGCCATGGCTCAGAGGAGGAGGTCAGAACAAACCTGGGACATATACACAGACTGAGGTTTCAGGAGTGGCCAAGAGGTGGAGGTGAAAGGAAGGTGCAACTGCCCAGCCAGGAGGACTTGCTTCAGTCCTGGGCCCAGCCTGGGCATGAAGGTGAGAGTGGGATGCCCTCAGGGCCCACATATTGCACTTGGTCCCACAGGTCTCAGAAGTGAAACTGGAGAACCCTGGGTTTTATGGAACTATTTACTTGCCCTTGGAAAGGCCTGGATGGAGTTTGCTGCATTTCACCTGCCAAAATCCCTGGAGGGTCTGGTCTCTACCCACCACCACCACTACCTTCCTTGCCTCTGGCTTCTCCCTCATTCTCTCACAAACTCACCCCCAGCCCATACCCATCTGGGCACACAGTTCCAAGCAGAAACAGAGGAAAATGGGAAGGGAGGCCAGGACACAGAGATGAGGCAGGACACTCCCCTAGGAGCCATATCCTACTGGTGGCACATAATCCAGGTTTCACATGCCTGGAGGGAGGTGTGTTCTGGTGAGGGATGAGGCTCAGAGTGGAAACGGGGTCTCAGAGCCTGGTTGGGGGGGGGGTCTGAACATTAGGACAGCACCAACACCACCAGGTGCTTGGGAAGGAGATGGGAACACAGCAAGAGGGATGAGGTGCAGGGGGAAGGCAGGAGGGTCTAGGCATCTAGGTTCCAGAGGGCACCCAAACATCTCCTTAGCTACAGAACTATCCAAACCCCAGACTCTTGGGGTCTCAGAAACCTGAAGCCAGAGCGAAGTGTCTCCCAGGGGCAGGGCTGCCAAGGCTGGGGAAGGACTGTGGAACTCAGGGGAATCCCTCCCACAGGAGTGCAGGTCTGCTGCAGCATGGGAAGGGGGCTATGTCCCTGGAAGTAGCTGGTTTGTAAGTCTGAATACACACATCCACGCTCCTGTGTGTGTGTCCTCAGCACTTGGATAATATCACCATTTGTGTAGGCATACAGAGGAATCTGGGCCTGCCTGGAGTGAAATGGAGATCCTTGACAGGCTGGTGTGTGGCTCCTAAGCTTGGATACCAGTCCTGAAAGATGGAGTGTCAGGAAGGATGCAGAGGAAGGGTTAAGTAGTGTCATGATGACACCCCTCAGGCTGAGCATGCTGGGGCCCATAGTGGAGCTGAAAGCTAGGCCAGCCCAGACCTTCCCCCAGAGCCCCAGGAACTGTCCTTGCACTGATGGTGGATCCTGTGGTGAAATGGCTAGCTAATCTGAAGCAGAGGGGTGGGGCAGGGCTTTCTATGGACAGTCATAACTTGACTGGAAGACTTTCCCCACCCCAGGCCCCTGTTTCAGCCTCTGAGACCCCTGTCCACCCTCTGGCCCAGCCCAAGACACTAGCCATGTTCCTCTCAAGTGCTTACAGAAATCCCAGGGGAGAGGGTATGGGGGAGGGCAAAGGGGCAGAGAAGCGGGCCTTGGGAATACTGCTCTGGCTGGCCTAGCTATGGGATGAAGCCTAAACAGGATGAGGATGAGGGAGTGGGTCAGAGAGCACATGGGCAGGGAAGGAGGTCAATCACCACTGGGGGAGGCCAACTGAACCAAAGGGAAACTTCCTCATCTGGGTCTGAACTAGTCTGCAACCCCCATGCCAGACCTGGGCTTGGGGATGTCCTTCACAGACTAACCTCTCCTGTCAACCTCAACCTCGTGCTCACCCGGGTACTCCTTCTTAGCTCATTGTTGTCATTCTTCTCTGGGTCATCCAATCCTTTGAGATCCCTGTGTCCACAGAATAAGTCGATGGTATTCCATGGGTAGAGGTAGACTATGGGCTTTATATCTTCAGACCAGAGCCCCATGATCAACTTTATGTGCTATGTGCAGATTCTCATAAAACTGAGATAGTCCCATAACGAACCACTAGCCATGGAATATTAGAATATATCCCATGGTGACTAGTATTGTTTCATGGCCCCCCTCCCCCCCAGCCCCCAGTGAATTCACGGGAAAGTGGTTGTACACTGGTTGGGATGTCTAGTATATTGCTGCTGCAGTCCCTACCACCGGACATGGGAACAACCCTTGGTGGAGATTGTTGCTGGTCTGTAGCGCTTTCATCTAAGCTGCCCAGGGTGGTGGCCCCCCCTAATCCTTTGCTCACCAGCCGCTTCCATCAGGTCACCAGAAACTCCCACTGGACCATCAACCCCAACAGACACCGTGAAAGCCAGAGTCACTCCAACAGGTTCCTAAAGATAAATGCTAAACTCTAGAGTGGTGGTAGAAGATGAGTTGGTTCGGCATGCTATGGGTAAGTAAGCTTGTCACAGATGGCTAGGGGCATCTCCTAAGAAGGACCTGGAGCTAGACAGCCGGAATCAGAGCAGGAATCTACTCAGCTATGGAGACGGTTCTTGTGGGGCTGAGAATCTACTGCCTTTGCAGGGATCCTCCTGCCCAGACCCCATGAACAATTTCTGCTGTCTACACAGCCTAAAGGATGCTGTGTTAAGGACCAAATCAGAAGCTACCTGGCATCTCCGAATCATACCCGCCCCCATCCTGCCCCAACACTGGGTCAGTAGCCTGAGTCTGAGACTCACGCTTGACTCCTGCGCACACGAGCAGCAGCCCCCGGGGCTCCTGCTAAGATAGTCCTCAGTAACTCCACAGGCCATGTGGTCTCTTCAGAACGTCACGAGACCAACCGCATCAACCTCCTTACCCGGGGCCACCAGTGAGGTTCCTCTAGCAGGCTCTTGCCTTCTGAATTTGGCTGCCAGCATCTCCCTGGGCCCCCAGGCTCCACACCTCGAGACTGAGTGCAGGGTCCGGGGTCGCCCACAGAACTAAGGAAGCAGTTTGACTGAATCTGGAATCATCGCTACAGGGGGCAGAGGTGAAAGGTCAGATCGACATGCCTCTAAGAGGTTTCCTACCTGCTCTGTTAATTTCTAAAATTTCTTCCTGGGCCAGCGGACATGTGTCACTCTGAGTACTGTGGTGTGGAGAGTTTACGACAGATTTACAATAATTGGGAGATCCCAGCTGCGGTGGCCGCGGAATATGCTTCTTTTTTTTCTTTGGTAGTTTCTGCTTAGCCATGGCTAAGGAGTAATACATCCCAAAATTGTTCACGATGACAGGCACGGGCATGGCAATGGTCAGCACGCCTGCCAGTGCGCACAGTGCTCCCACCAACATGCCAGACCATGTCTGCGGGTACATGTCTCCGTAGCCCAGTGTCGTCATGGTGACCACAGCCCACCAGAAGCCAATGGGGATGTTCTTAAAGTGCGTGTGCTCACTGGCACTGGGGTCGTTGGGCTGTGCCCCTATCCTCTCGGCATAGTAGATCATGGTGGCAAAGATGAGCACGCCCAGGGCCAGGAAGATGATGAGCAGCAGGAACTCGTTGGTGCTGGCACGGAGTGTGTGGCCCAGGACACGCAGGCCCACGAAGTGGCGGGTCAGCTTGAAGATGCGCAGGATGCGCACGAAGCGGACAACACGCAGGAAGCCCAGGACATCCTTGGCAGCCTTGGAGGACAGGCCGCTTAGGCCCACCTCCAGGTAGAAGGGGAGGATGGCCACAAAGTCAATGATGTTGAGCGAGTTCTTGATGAACTCAACCTTGTTGGGGCAGAAGACAACACGCATGAGGAACTCAAAGGTGAACCACACCACGCAGACGCCCTCGATGTAGGTGAGGAAGGCCTCTGTCTCCGCTTCCCTGTAGTAGCGCACTTGCGTGCCATTCTGAACATTCTCAATCTCTGTCTTGTTCACGATAGGATTGAAGCGCTCGTGGGTCTCCAGGCAGAAGGTGGTGATGGAGACCAGGATGAAGAACAGGGAGGCAAAGGCCACATACTGTGGGCAAGAAACACAGAGTGTCAGAGGGGAAGCCCTCCCACCCAGACTACAGAAAGCTGGGTCCAGGCAGAGGGCCAGAGCAGGGGAAGATGCCCACCGAGGGCCCCTTCCAACATGACCTTAGCTGACATGCCACATTTTCCTCGGCAGAGGGATGTGCACTACTGCCAGGCCCAGCTGGTAAAACCCTCCTCCTTGATCTTCCATACTTTCTTACCCCCATTGCCAGCCAGACACTGAAGCCCTAGGGGCCAGCAGTCACCAGAGGGAAGGAGCCTGGGTCCCTGGAAAGAAAGACATCCACTAAATACCCTCATTGAACCTGAATGGGAAATAAACTTCTATTGTCTTAAACTACTGCAATTTCGGAGGTGATCTGTTAAAGAGTTAGCTACCCTGACTAATCATGGTGACCTGGCTTGCTGGAGCTGAAGATCGCAAAGAAATGAGAGGGGCAGCTGTAGGGGCATCAGCTATTCAGGGGCTGCATTTCTCATCTTTCTTCTATCCATCTCCTGTCTATTTCCATCAAGGAGTGTCAAGATCGCACCCCAGGTCAGCAGCAGAAGGCAGCCACAAAGCCTCTGGCAATTGCCTGAGTTTGCTATGATACCCACCCCCCACTGTGGGGGATCCACACTGGGAGTCTCAGAATGACCCAGTCTGGGTTGACTGTGACCAAGGGGCCTGGCACTTGATCTTGCAAGGATCTGGGAACTAAGAACTGTATGGATTTTTTAAACCACATTGTGGACTAGGGGAGAGGAGGGGGAAGAAGGGGGGACAAAGTCAGGTTTTCAGAATGACCATCCATCTGTCCACTCATGCTTCTTTCCTTCTACCTCTCTCCCTCCCTTCCTTTCTTCCATCTGTTCACCCATTCACACTCCTTCCTGTCCTCCTTCCTTTGTGTGTTTGTTCTACCCTTCCTTCCCTTACTTTCATCCACCATTCTTCTTCCCTTCCCTCCTCTTTTCTTTTTATAACCCCTTCCTCTTTTTCCCCTCCTTTCCTTTCACCTGTCCATCCACCCATTGGTTCATTCCTCCATCCTTTTTTCTTGGCAATCTTCACCAGGCACAAGGTTATGACAGGCACAGAGTTGAACAAAGCCTTTGTCCAGCCTCAGGAGCTCCCCTAATAGCTGGGGGTGAAGGACCATACAGAGATGAGTATACAATGCACGGGGCTTAAAGATGAGCCCCCTCAGCCCCAAGAGGGGCTGGGAAAAGGTGAGAACAATTTGTACACCCTTGAGAGAGGCAGGTAGAGGCCGCAGCCAGGTCTTCCAACTCCAGAAAGCTCTTTCTTCAAGATGCAGATAGTTCAGACCTGGGAGGCCACAGAGAAAGATCAGGAAAGCAAGGCAGAGGCAACTGAAGAGGCTACCACCTCAGACTCAAGCTCCCCAAGCTCCCGAACTCTTTCCATCACTAGAGTCACCAAACCTCTTGGAGCTAAAAAGTACACCCCTAGGCTGAGGATGTAGCTCAGTGGTAGAGCAGCACTTGCCTAGAGTGTACAAGGCCCTGGGTTCAATCTCTAGTACTAGGGGGAAAAATCCCCATTGCTGGGTATCTGGTCCCCAGTTTCTTCTGGGGGCTCCATTTTGGAGCTTAGCACTCACGATCCAGACTCCTTAAGGATAGGTGATGCCCCTTGCCTGGGCCTTGTCCTGAGCGGAGAGGAATATGCACCCTGTGAGAGTCTGAGGGCATCTCAGAGGCACAGCCCATGGCACCCGGAGTTCCTGATCTGACCAAAGGTGAAGCCAGGAGGTACCTCCTTTCTTGATGCACCACCAGCCAGGACACCCTTATCCTGAGCTCTCCCACTTCCATCCTCCTCTGTGTTCTCTCTCAACCGGGCCACCCCCCATCAACACAGGTTTAAGGCTTCATTCTCAGCCACACAGCCATCAGAAGGAGCTGCCCATGGGAATCCCAGCTCTGCCCATGCTGCCTACAGAGAACAGCCCAAACTCCCCAGCCTGAAACATGAGACTCTCCATGCCCTGGCCTCACTTGGCTTTTCAAGGTCCTCTTCCTACATGTCCCCAACATTCATACCATGTGAAACTCTCTGCCATTTCTGACCACAGTGTCTCCCCCATTTTCATGGCTTTGCACCTGCTATTCCTTCTATGGGAGGGAGAGTGTCCCTTCCAATCTGTCTGGGAAAATCCCATTCACCCTTCATTAATATCTCTTCCCCTGGGGTGAGGCTCTCATTGGCACTGTGGTCTCTATAAGGCTGTAAATAAAGGGACTCCCCAAGGAGTCTCTATATTCACCCTAGGGAGACAGAGAATCTGTCTCCAACCCTGGCTCTATAGTGACTTGGGAGGCTCGTGGGAATAGCCCAGATAGGGCATTGATATCCCAGGAGCCTTCTAACTCCCAGGTGCCCTTGCAGGCCCTCTAGCTCTCTTCTCATTTGCCCTACCTCACTACAGATCCTGATGGGAAAACTGAGGCCCAGAAGGAGGTTAGGCCTTGTAAGATTTGTATAGAAAAGTCCTTGGTTTTCCAGGATTAACTGTAGCCTGATATCCACTGCCCAAGAAGTGGGGAGATGAAGGGAAGTAGAAACCAAGCCTAGAGCCAGACACTAAGATTTCTTCCCCTGAAAAGCTGGAGGGGTGGAGGCTAGGCCTTCTTCCCTACAGAGGCTCCCTGGGTACCTGCTTTCTTGGCTTCTGCTGCCTCAAAGCGTGGCCATCATCCCTCATAGGCAGAGCCCTAGCAACATTCAGGTTTGAGAGGACCCTTAGAGGGCTGTGGAGCAAGCCGCTCCTGATTCGCTCAGACTCCAACATTCTCCAAATCCAGATACTAGTAGGTGGACAACGAAGGACACAGCCAAAGTGACAGCAGTCAAGCCTCCAGTTCTCTCTGCTCATGCCTAGGGCTGGCTGAGCTCAAGAAGGAGGAAAGCAGAGCTTGAGGACCTACCATGAGCCTTTAATCCTTGTACTGACATATGTTAAGAAGGAAAGCCAGGTACCAAGAGGTTAAAGGACTAAGCCTAGGTTTGAAAGCCAGTGAGGAGCTGAGACTGGACCCAGGTTTACCAAGCTTTGCAACCTAAGCTCTGACCTCCAAGTCTCCAAAGCTCCTGGGGCAAAAGAACACAACTCATCCCACTTTGCAGATGGCCTGATTATGTCTGGATGGTTCCATCCTGGAGCTTGGTACCCACAGCCCAGCTCTCCCTGAGAGCTCCCTTATGACAGACACAGCATGGCACCTGGGCCCACAGGCAGGAGTTCAGACACATTGGAATCATTCTTAGGCTTCATTGCCCACAACTTGCTAGGACGTGGGGCAGGAGCAGCTCTCTGGGTGGGCTCCAGTGATGACAGCATCCTTCGATAGCCTAGCCTGTGTCCCTGCCTGGCTTCTTTCTTCCACTGAGGAGAAGACCTGAACTTTGTGGGGAGCTGAGCCAATGGGACAGGGAAGGGTGTGGGCATAGATGTGGGCTTAGGCCTGGGATCAGCTGACCCCTGGCAGGGAGGGAAGCCCTGCTTAGCAGACTCAGAATGATAATCTTTGAGCAGCAGCTGCAGGACCCTGGGCTTATCAACCCCAGGGCAAGGGCAGGGAGGCTGCACCTTGAGCTGTCTGCCTCCAAATGAGCTGTCTGCCTCCAAATCCCCAGTCACCCAGAAACATGAAACTGTCACCCACAGATCACAGACACAACCACCACCCAGAGAACACACCTCACCTGTCACCTAAGCACCAACACTGAGCACAAGGACACAGGAACCACAGCTCAGTGCCTGGTCACACACATAGAATGTGAGAGTCCAAGTAGAGTCACTGAGTCATGTCACTGCACACCAAACAGATATACCCAGGTGCTATATCAAAAGGCACAAATGCACGTGCATACACACAACTCATGCGGATACACACAAGAGCACACAGATGATGCAGTGGTGGCACCATGCAACATATTTACGAGCACACAGACCCCAGGTACTGCTCTGCCCACTCTGCCCCACTGGGAGGTGATGTTCACCTCTCCCCCACACCACGGGTAGGTACAGCTCTCTTTGCCTTTGCCTCCCTGGCCCTTCCTGAGCCTGCCTGCTCAGACGATGCTGGCTCTGGACTTCCTGTCCCTGGGCCTTGATCCTCATCCCAGGGCCTTCTGATCTCCCATCACCTGCCAGGTCTTGTTTCTGCCATCCCACTCCTGCAGCAGCTGAGCCCCACCATACCCATGGCCTGTTGTGAAGCCTGTCCCTTCTGGGCTCCTAATCTGACTAGAGGCACCAAGGGACCTTTGCCAGCCAGCCTAGGGGCAACTGTCACACCACCTGGCCAGCTCTGTGGCTGTAAAATTTCAAGACAATGTAGGAGAGATTGCCTGACAATGTGACATAAACCCAAGCTGGTAGTTTCTGGCTCTTTTTATTTTTTCCAGAACCAAATCACTAACCGTGAGAGACCCACCAATTGTGTTCTAGAAAGTGGTAGCCATGGCAACAGAGCGAGGCATCCCATTTCTATGGTAACCTGGGTGGTAAAGCTGTTGGCTGTAAAGTCAGACAAACCTACTAACGATCTGTTGACTTAAGAAGATGTTTTATAAATCACCAAGTTATTTTTATCATAACCCCACCCCAAAACCATAAATCAGAAAGGCAATTTACTATCTATTAAAATGACCAATATGTGCTATGACTTTCATTTATGAATTATTTATGCCACACTCATCTTCAGAAAATTGTGCTTGCCTTTCAGAGCTGTTCAAGGGTTTGCCGTGGGGATCCGTGTTCTTGCAGTTCATTGTTTCAGGAATAAGGTGCTGGTTGTAACATGGTGCAGCGACCAACATTCTGGCCTGGCTGCTCACTTGCTGTGTTACCTTGGCATGTCATTTCCCTTCTCTGGGCCTTAATGTCATCAAGGTTAAAGTGAGGGTTGGACTTGGTCCCTTCTGAGGATTCTGAGGCAGAGCAAGGTTGCAGGCAGTGCGGGCAG